ACCAGCAAACAAACCTTTATTGGGAGCTACTTCCTATGGATCTCTTGCTGCTTCTGGAAATGGTTTTTGAAGCCAGGAAGCAAGAGGGTATGCACTGTCTCCAACTAAATACAGTTTGATGTCAGTATCCGCAGAAAAGGGCCCATAAGAATCTGATGTTGCTCTGCGAGATAAACGATCGTACCTTTTGGCAGAACTCTTAAATGCTGCCCGGAAAGCCAAATGTAAAGTCTAGGAAGCGTTTCCTGCTATTCACAAAAGTATGGACAATGAGTTCATGTTGCTGATAGCGACTGAAATAGTCCACAGCACTGCCTGAAGGGTAGCTATTCTTATATGGGATTCATCAATTGCACCAACAATGTTTGGGAGCTCAGATTCAGCCTCTGTGATGGGAAACTTTATGTAATCATTCCTCAGACCGAAAAGGGCCTCCACAACATCTTGGACTGCTTCAAGAGCAGTCAGTCTGCAAACGTTAAAGTTCCGGCCTATTCTCATGTACCAGTTCCCGTGAGCTAGGAGGTACGAACCAAGCGTAAGTACATTTTCTCGAGCAATGTGTGAGTACTTTTCCTGGAGCAATGCAGTCCCGCAATCTCATGTTTTCACGTAATAGAGCAGGCCGCAAGACGTTCAACAGAATATCAAAGGTACATTGGTTCACTCTCAGTTGTTTCTGAAATAATCCTTTCCATGTGCCTTTGAGCAAAGAGTTATTATTCGAGTGTTGTTGTTGTTTGCAAATAAGGAAGATTAACTTGTAATATATTAAGTACCCTCTAGGGTTACTGTGTATGTACCCAGAATACATTGCTGGAATAAAGTTGTGTTGAAGCGGCCATGTTGTTTGACCTCGTGGGTTTATATCACTAGCAATATATTACATTTTGGCGACGAGGATCGGTCGTTTTTCCACGTCATTCAAAAGTGCAAGGTCTTTGGACAACGCTGTGTGTGTTGTGGCATAGAAGATGGCCAGCACTACTGCGAGTGGATTATTTGGACGTGTTGGCGAGTTCAACGTCGCACGTGAAACGTTTAGTGCCTACGTTGAGAGGATGGAAATGTTCTTTACAGCCAACAACATTGTAACGACAACAGGAGAGGGAAGCGCTGCCACCAACCTTGTGGTAGCGAACAGGAAACGTGCCATTTTCCTGACAGAAGTGGGGCCGGAGGTATACACAACCCTCAGCAACTTATTGGCGCCCACTAAATCGAAGGACGTGTCATTCACTAACATTGTGGAAGTCTTGGAGAAACACTACAACCCGAAGCCCCTGGAAATCGCACAAAGTTTTCACTTTGGCACGCGAAATCCAAAATCCGAAGAATCAGTTAGCGATTATGTGCTGGCTTTGAAGAGATTGGCGGTCCACTGTAATTATGGTGAATTCCTCAATCGGGCGTTACGTGACCGATTCGTATGCGGACTGAACAATCCGAAGATATAAAACAAACTACTGAACACAGATGACCTCACATTCGAAAAGGCTTGCAGTATTGCCAAGACCATGGAGATGGCAGACAGGAACACCCAAGAATTTCACCCTTCACGCAGTGAAACTGTTCAAGTCAACAAGTTGACAGAACAAGGAAGTAAAAACACTGAAAAGAAGAACACTGAACAATTGTCATGTCCTAGGTGTGGGGGTAATCATTTAGGTCAGTCTCGTAAATTTAAGTCAGCAAAATGCTACAAGTGCTCCAAGATTGGGCATTTAGCTTCTGTTTGTCGCAGTAAGGATGAAAAGAAAAAGGGTAAAATTCATAGTGTACAGGCTTCAGAATCAGGCAATGATGAGTGTGAGGATGAGGAATTAGGAATTTATTCTCTGAATTCGCTTGACCAAAACAAGCCTAATTGCAATAGGTACACTGTAGAAATGGAAATTAATGGTAAACTGTGTATGATGGAGTTAGACACAGCTGCAGATTTCTCAATAATGAGTAGAAGTGAATATCTAGAGAGGTTTGCAGACAAGCCTCTGTCTCCTTCTAAAGTAACACTTAAGACATACACGGGTAAATTACTTGATGTGTCAGGGGAAATGCAGTGTGACATAGTGTATAAGGGTAAACAATACTCTCTACCCATTCTTGTAGCCAATTATGATGCAAAACCTACTTTACTTGGTAAAAACTGGCTGCGGCACATTAAGTTTGAGTGGGGTGAGATATTTTGTATTCCCAACGGAGACCCTAGGAGTGCTGATAGTCAACTGAATGAGTTGCTATCTAAACATAGCGAATTGTTTACTGAGAGTTACAAAGGTATGACGGGCCTTGAGGCCCATATTACTATGAGAGGCGATGCAAAACCTGCATTCGTGAAAGCGCGTAGGGTTCCATACCCTTTAAAAGAGCAAGTCGAAAAAGAGTTAGACAAACTAGAAAAGCATGGTGTTATTAAGAAAGTTGACAGGTCACTTTGGGCTAGCCCAATTGTGGTAGTGCCAAAGGCCGATAACACTGTCAGAATATGTGGAGACTACAAATCCACTATCAATCAGTCAGTTGAAGATGAGCAATATGTTTTACCTACTATTCAGGATTTTTATGCTGCTCTGGTTGGCTCTAAGGTATTTAGTAAGCTTGATCTATCACATGCCTATGCCCAGCTGAATGTTGACAAAGAAAGTCAAGAGTACTTGACAATTACCACTCATAAAGGCCTTTATTCCTACCAGAAATTGCCCTATGGGGTCAAGTCATCCCCAAAAATCTTTCAAGCAAAAATGGATCAAATTCTTCAGGGAATTGAAAAATGTGTTTGTAAACAAGATGACATCTTGATAGGGGGCAATGACTGGCAAGAGAATCTCAAGATACTTGCTGATGTGTTGGA